CAGAAAGAGGGAACAGATTCAGGATGAGGCATACACAGCATGTGTTGGTTTATCCAGAGAGGCTGTATTAGCACACTACTCCTATACTCCATCCCCTCTGGCAGAGAGAGAGTAGGCACCACCACAAGAATAGTGACAGAGCTCCTAAGCGTATTGGCTGGATGGAGCAAAGCATGAATAAAAAGTGGCTCTGCCAATTCATGGAGGATGAGCACAAAGCTTTAAGATTATCTATAGCTGCAGAAATACTCCAGGCATAGGACTCTCCCTCTCCTTTTCCATGTTGAGACTTTATAACTTCATCTGCTAAGGAAATAAACAAAAGTATCCTATTAGCACAAGGTTGGTTAACTGAAAGTACAAATAAACCATGAGAATCAGGAGGGCTACCACAGCCAGTCTTTTCCATTATTGGGCATACTGCAGGCACTTTGGGAGGCATGAGATAGCACAGAGCTGAGGCACCTGAGCTGGCTGCACTGCCCCAGCCAGGCACCTCCTAGGACAAGAAAGAGCAATGCAGATGTTTTTGTGCAAAGGGCACACGGTGATGGAGAGCTGCAGTCTGTTAACAGTGGTGATGGCTGTACCCTGTCACTGTGCCTGTCACTACAAACATCAGCAGCTGTGCTTCTGGAGTGTGATACACACCACAGGAGCAACCTGACAGAACACACAGAGCATTACTTGGCTGTTCTCTTGAGATACTCCTGCAGTATTCCCACATACAGTGTTGGAATAATGAATGTTACAGATCTGCCAGGGCCTTCAGTAACTGCGCTATTAAGGTGAAAGATAAAATTTTAAGCCATTTTAATTTAGGATGGTATTTAGTCCTTCCAGCTGCCTGCTAGGACTGTGGAGAATGCAGCAAAAACATTCCTTGGGAGGATATAAGGGGCAGCACTGCAACACAACATTGCTCCAGACTGTACTGTACTCCAGACAGCAAAACGTTTCATAACCCATACAACCAATGCAGCAAGATGAATATACACCCACTCCAGGAAGCTATTCCCTTCTGCAAAAGGAGGCACAAACTCTTACATAAATAGATTATGGTAAGAGCATTACCACAGTTTTGGCTCTGTTAATATAAAGGGATAGCCCATGCATTAAACAGGAAGTGGACAAGAGAAAAATAGGGAAAGAGAGGAAGGAAGGAAAAAAGGTTTTACAAAACCCAGCTGTAGCTTCAAAGTAAGGAAAAGGCTGAGTAAAAATGGATACTAAGTCATTATGGTTAGCTAAAAAACCTGGAGAATTCTCAAGCACAGCATTTTTTTGTTTATATAACCTCTTAGATTTTTACAGGAAAAACACAACTAGCAATGCAACTGAAATATAAATGACTTTTTTGTTTATATAACCTCTTAGATTTTTACAGGAAAAACACAACTGGTAATGCAACTGAAATATAAATGATGTAAGAATATGGCTAGTTACTATAAAACAAGAACATTTTCATTAATGTAGAGATCAAAACTTTTTCAGTGCTGTACCACAAAAAAGAATCCATAGAGTGGCTTTGGTCTTTCTTGCATCTGTTTTCAAACATATTTATTTTTTTAAACAAAGAGTCTCAAAAAACAGGATCTTTGTGAAGAAATTTGTGAACCTACTTGTCAACAAAGTAGCCTAGCTTTTTTTCCAAAGGCAAGTAATAACTGTAACTGGTTGCTTAGACTGTCTATTCTGCATCTCAGCATATGGTTGTCAGAAAAAACCACATCAATATTTGCAATATTTTTCACTGATATAGCATTCTTCATCTGAGATTCTCAAGGCTCTCCACAACTGTAGAAAATTATTGGATACTGGATGGGAAAATGAAGGCATAGAAAATGATGGCTGAGCCAACGGAGACTCCCTGAGGCACTCTGAGTGTGACTGTCATTGCTTGTTGTTCACCACCAGTGAATAAGGCAAAATCCAATAGAATAAGGAATTTACTGTCCTTGCCCTTTTAGTATAAGGAGATACATTGGTATAGTCAAAATATTTATCAAAATATCAAACTATATAAACTATAGACTACATAAATTATATATAAATTAGAACAAGGATAGATAACCAAATGAGGGTTTTTTTTGTAATTTTGGGGATTTTTTGAAGTTTTTTGATTGGTTGGGGGGCTTTCAGATTTTGGGTTGGTTTTTTATCTTCTGATGCTTATAGGACAACCAGTATAGCTGTGACCAGCCTACACAAAACCAGGACCACACTGTTCCAAAAATGTACCTCTCAGGGTGGAACCCCAAGTGTTACCTCAGCAGTTCCCATTTGATTATGATACTGAGTGGACTATGAACATAAATTTCTCATCATTGTTTTCAAATGCACCAATATTAAATCCCCTACATATAATCTGTATATTTAATTTGGATATTCTGAACTTAAAAACTTTTGGTTTGATTAAAGCAGATTTATTCCATACCTTGTAATCAAAACCTCTGTTTTCTAGAACAATGATGGCTTACAGTACACATGCAGACTATACACACTGCAGAGTTCCAGACAGTGCTTAATACACTTAAACTATGAAACGCTTTCAAAAATAGCCAGCAGTCAATGTCTCTCCCATCAGCAAAATCTTCCCACCATGAAAGAAAGGGTCTCAGAAAATTAAGAGTAAGGAAACCATAACACATGATGAAGTACATAGTTCATGAGTAGAAAACTGCAGATCTAGCAAGCAAGAGATGCTGAGGCAGCTTCCTTGAAATGTTTAGACATTTTCTTGTTTTTTGACCCTACTTCTGGTATCACCCAACCTCTCCAGTCCTTCTTTCACCCAACATATAAATTAGACATATTTATGTTCACTTTCCAAATGCAACATTCACACAAACACCTTTTCTGAATTAGGCTAAAAATACATGCATAGGTGTAATATTTTTTCCTCAATGGCCACCATTTCCACAAAAGACAGAATTTTACTATCCAATTCTTCCATAGAGAGTTGGGAATTCCCAGTTTTCTAAGTGCTTGTAAAATTCTAGAACGTCACTTAGTGTTACTCTAGGCAACTGAGAAAATGCAATAATAATTTATTTTCATTTAGCTGAAATAAATCACATTGGTTTCACTTTCAGTAGTCAGTTGTTTATTGTTTTAACAACGAATACTGTGAGGGAAACGATGTTGTTACATTTCCTCTTTGTTAGTATCAGCTCCTAATGCATCCAACTCTCATCTGCTTACTAGCAGAAGATTTCACCTCTGTCAGCACTGCAAAGCCCAAGCTGTTGTGGAAAAAACCCAAACTGCAACCTGTTCAGCCTCTGGCCCCATCAGCAAAGCTTGGGGCTAAATTCTCCGGATTGTGATGCTCAGCCATCCTGAACAGCCCCCTGCTTCGGAACAGAGATGTGTTGATACAGCCAGCAAGGCATGGTTAAATACCCTGATACTTAACCCTTCATTTCAAACGTTTCCTTGAAGGCAATTTCAGCCTCCAAAAGAAAATCAGGGACTGACCCTTTTTAGTCATCCCTTGCAAGGCTACAGCACTTCCCAGTGTAAAAGAGACACAGACACGTTGGATTGAGTCCATTAGAAGATGACCACGCTGATAAACTGACTTCAACAACTGACATGTGACAAAAGCTCAAAGGACTTGGCTCATTCAGCCCTGAGATGACAAGGTTAAGGTAGGTGAAGATAGCCATAAGATCCCCCTAGCTTATAAGACTACAGAGAGAAGATAGAGCCAAATACTCTTGAAGAGATAGATATAAGATAAGAAGCATGAAATAAAAAGTTACAGCAATGAAATTGGGACTGGAAAGAAGGACTTTGTTTGTTTTGTGAAAATAGTCAAGCATCAGAATACACTACCAGAAAAACTTGTGTTTTCATCACACTTCAAGATATTCAGAACTTGACTGGTTGCCCTGAGCAGCCATATCTAAATTAGCCCTGGTTTAAGCAGGGATTACATCAGGTATAACCTCCAGGGGTTCCTTCCAACCTAAGTTATTCTGTATTTCTGCAATTTTATGACTTTGACTTAGAGAAATAACAAAGATCATTTAAAAAATTACTTACTTGAATTCCTATTTCCTATGACTCGATCTTGAATAGACAACTAAAGCTATAGAAATAAAAGGCAACTTGTCTTGTGTGAAGGTGCAAAGATTTTAGCTTGCTTTAGTCACAGAAACAGAATAATGTAACAGCAACTTACATGCACACTCTTATAAATGAAAGACACAGTATATCACATGTTGCAGTTAAGACAGTCAAAACACAGAGTGTTACAGCACAATTTCAGAAGGCTTTAAGCATTTTTCCAAACAGAGTAACACCATACCTCATCAGAAAGCTTCAGTCATCAACCCACACAGAGCAACACCATGTCACTTCAGAAGGCTGCAAGCATCAGCCAGCCTTCCTCTTTAGCCCAACCTTTTATACCCCTGACCTTACCTGCAGTGCACCTGTGTGCCCTCTGTTCCCTTTGGTGGTTGGTCAGTACACCTGGGCACTCCATGGCTCATTACCTTCAATATGATTCACCTGCTTTTCACAGCTGTAGCCTATTGGGGATGAGGCTCTGCTGCAGCCCCACTCCCAATTACCACAAACTGTGTGCCTGCACCAGCACTTAGATGTGAAATAAACAATGAAAACTATAATAATGAAAGAAAGGAAACCTACAGCCAAAAGAGATTTGTACTCTGTGTTAATCAATAAATAAGTCCAGCCTGGTAATGTATTATGGGTCAAACTTCCAAACTATTATTCATCTTCTGATTTGGCTGAAAGTATTTGTCAACACTGAATCATCCCTTGGTTTAGTCTTCAGAGCCAGCCCCTTGTTTAGCAATTGCTAATTGTGTTTACTATACAGTGCCCAAGAAAAAGGCATTTCTATTCTGTGGGAACACAGATTTCCACTTCCCCACCCCCAAAGGCTGGGCCCAAGTGACTGTCTGAGGCCCAGCCTCGCTGGGATTCATGAACAAGCACCAAAGAACTGGTGGTGTGTGTCTGACCTTGTGTGCTTCCCCTCCTGCTTCAAGTCCAACAATGAATACAGTCAATAATTGTTGGGTTTCCCTGTCTGCAAGCCTCGCTTGACCTTGGGAAACAAAAAAAATAACTCTTCTTTACCTTTCCTTTCCACTCCCTCTTCCTTCAGTATAAACATGCTAATAAACAGAAAGAAAATCAATTGTTCAATTTTCACCTGTCATTTCTAGATCTCCTGTATCAGTTTCATAACTTTATCTGGGCTGCTATCTGGCCCCTTTATTATTTTCTCCTCAACAGACTGAGTTCTATATGATGGTATTTTATTTTACTGCTTGGCTGCTGTTGCTGAACTAACAGCTGTTGTGTCTGAATTGTTCAGAATTACACAAAGGGAATATATCAAGTATGAGATCAAACTTGTGTTTTTAAATCAAACCTGCAATGGGACCAATATGTGTTCAAGTCTCCTTCTTGGATTTTTATGTTGTTTGTTCTTTGGATTTTGTTGGCTTAGTTTTGTTTTTTAGGTGGATAGCTGAATTAATTAGATTATCTTTTATTCTAGACTGTTTGTGTACTATATTTATGATTCATACGAGCGGATACATTATAGAATACCAACAGTGTATAATGGACTGCAACAATGAATTCCAACTTATTAAAACAGAGTGTGACTCTTTAGCAGTAAGGTAGGACTTCAAAACAGAGCTTAACTGATAAGCAGAAAGTTGCATTCTATCTCAAAGGGAGTAAATGGGGCAGAAAAGGCACAGTTCATTAATCTAGCAGCCTCTCTACACTTTAACTCATTATCACAGAATCATAGAATGGTTTGGGTTGGAAGGACTTTAAAGATATATCTAGCTCCAAGCCCTGTGCCATGAACAGGGACAACTTAAATTAGACCACATCGCTTCAAGCCCTATCCAGTTTGGTCCTGACACTTCCAGGGATGGGGCACCTGTTAACTTCCTTAGGCAACCCATTCCAGTGCCTCACAACCCTCACAGTAAGGGAATATTCGTAATCTGTGTGTTTTCATCCTGTCTCCAGCCACCTGGAGTTCAAGGGAAGCCTGGATGTGCACTCGGTGCCATGGTCTGGCAGACATGGTGGTGCTGGGTCTCAAGTCAGGCTGGATGATCTCAGAGGCCTTTTCCAACCAAACTATTCTGTGGTTCAGACTGGCTACAGGCACCGCAGAGCAGCTCCAGCTCCAGGGGTGTTTGGGATGCTGTTTGCCAGGGGGGATTAGGCAGAGCGGCTGCCTGTTGGCAGACAAGCCTGAGTCACAAAACAGGCTGCAGGTTCCATACGCAAAACATGTGGCTTCGTTAAACAGATGCAACCGCTGAGTGCCAACATATTAATTAACCACCACATCCTTCCTTTCATGTCTCCCCGCTGCTGCTTGGGAAGCATTACGATAATTACCCGCAGCTCATAGCCTCGGGGTTTGCAGAGCAGCTATTCTGACACGTGGTTCCCGCAGCGGGACCGGACTGTGAGGGCGGGTCCCGCGTCCCGGCGGGTCCGGCACCGCTCGGCACGGCTCGGTCCCGGCGGGTCCGGCCCAGGCCGCGTCTCCACGGCAACCGCGGGGCCCGGGCGGGGCCGCGAGGCTCAGGGCGCATGCGCGGCCCTCACTGCCCGCGGTATCCGGGGCAACGCGGGGACGCCGGCGGCGCGCGCATGCGCCCTGCGCCCCGTGTGCCGCCGTCCCGCGTGGGCGTCGCGGCGGAGGGGCGCCGGGCGCGGACACCGGAAGCGGAAGCGCGACCGCGCGCGGGTGAAGCCGCTCCTCGGCCCGGCGGGACCGCCCGCGCTGCCTCGTGCCCGGCCCCGCCCCGCCCCGCGCGCCTTCCCGCGCTGCCCCGAGCCCGGCCCCGCCCCGCCCCGCGCGCCTTCCCGCGCTGCCCCGAGCCCGGCCCCGCCCCGCCCCGCGCGCCTTCCCGCGCTGCCCCGACCCCGGCCCCGCCCCGCCCCGCGCGCCTTCCCGCGCTGCCCCGAGCCCGGCCCCGCCCCGCCCGGCACCGGGGAGGGGCTCCCGCCGCCCGCGCCGCCGCCCGCGCTCCCGGCTGCCGCCGCCGGCCCCTCGCCGCCTCGCCCGCCCGCGTCCCCCGCCCGGCGGCCGCGATGTCCGACAAGGAGTTCATGTGGGCCCTCAAAAACGGAGACTTGGATGAGGTGAAGGACTACGTGGCCAAGGTAGGAGGAGGAGGAGGGATGGGTGGCTGGATGTGCGCGCAGCCCCCGGGATGGGGCCTGGGCGGGTACGGGCGCTCCGCGGCCGTGGGCTGAGCTCTGTGCGGAGCTGAGCGCCCCCTCCCCCTCCACGGGGCCTCTGGGTTCCTCCGCTTCCTCCTGTTCCGCTGCCCCGGCCGCCCCGCCGCCGGAGTTAGTCCGTGTCACTGCGGGAAACTTAATGGATTGGCAGCCGGGATCGCGGTCCCGCCTCGGCGATCTTGTGTGGATTGGTGGCCTCGGTTTGGTTATCGCTCCACTCCGTGCCTCAGGGCTCATCCTTAATAGGGCGATGCTAAGCTGCCGGGTGTGCTGGGGCTTAATGCATTAACCTTCTGGGAAGTGTGTTGGTACCTAGTTAGGGCGAGTGCTGCGGGAACAGCGGACACCTGTGTGATGGCGGAACAGTCATCAGGTACATGGCACGATTTGAAAGGTTCATTCTGTCCTCATTTGCCTTCTCTTGTCACCGAGGTTTGTGGGAAAAGTACACAAGGGCGGCATTCTGCTTCAGTGACTCCTTACTGTTCAGGAATATTGTCTGGGAACTGTTGCATCAGAGCAGAGGTGTACATCTAATTTACCTGTAATTATTTAGCTCTCCAAACAAGTTAACGATTGTCTTTGCGAGCTGACACATGCTGACACAACTTGCCGTGATGATTTAAGTTCTTTCTACTCCAGTTGTCAACTTTCAAACTCGTAGTGGTCCTGGCAAAAAGAAAACTGTGCGAGTACTTCCAGCTGCTTTAGTGCAAAGTCCAACAGCTTAGCCTGAATAGTCTTCTCTGACAGCTCCAGCTAAGCTTCTGGACTTTGCATCAAAGTGGCTGTGCACTCACATGCTCTGCCTATAAAGTTCTAGAGGAAATAACTGGGAATAATGCAATTATCCCACTTCAGCTGTTTGCTAAGGGTTGTGTACCTGTGTCTGTGTAACAAAGTTGGGTAATACATTGGTATGTCTAATATCTTCTCAGATTTGGAGACTTGCAGAGTGTGTCAGCAGCATATTTGGATTTTTTCAAGAGCTTTTAAATTGTTTCCATGTCTAGAAAATTCACTGCGTGCTAGTAATTATTATATCCTTGTGTATCTTTTGCTGAGGCAAAAGCTTTAACACTTTGGCAGTGTCTTGGTTCAGTTTCTAGCTACAGGTTCACTGCAGTGCTAATTAGAAAGCTTTTTTGGTATTTCCACTCTTCCTGAGTGGCACTGAAACTCGTGTAGCAAATTTATGTGATTTATGTGATCACTCTTCATCTGCTTCAGTGCTGAGTCAAATTCTTGGTTCCATCTACTTGAAAGAGGCTTGAGCCAGCTTGGATGCTGCTGTAGTAAAGAGGCTGAAGGCTATCATCTAACTGCACTAATGAGTCAGAAATCCTTAAAAGAGAGATACTCACTGGGGTTAGATGATTAATGTAAAAGGAGCCTGCAATCCTTGAGCACTCTTACACTATAGAACTGCTTCTATTATAGAAGCTGAATAAACTCTGGGTGGTTTCTGTTGGTTTGTGATCTAATCTTATTCATACTTTTCTCACACTTGCAACTATGTGTTGTGTCTTCAGTTGTTAAACAACCTACAAGAAGTTAAATGTTTTCAGTCCTTTTTGTTTCTTTGACAGACTAGTGGGCTAGTAAACTCTTAGGCTGGTTTTCCTATGGAAACAAAACTTATATAAGCAGATTTTGACTGATCCTCATCCTTCTGAGTGGTTTGTAAATTTTTCTGTCTAATTTTTAAGTTTTACAGAGGTGCAGGTAGGTGGGTTTTGGTAAGGTAAATGAAATAGAGAGGGTGCCTTCAGGGGAGAAAAGAGTACAAGAATGAGTTTCTGTTTTACTGTCCAAGAGGAAATGCACGTTGAGGAGGGGCAAGAGAAGTCCGTAAGTCATATGAATGTAGGAGAAGCCTCAGCTGGAACTTCACATTCTAAGTTCTGAGATTAATGAAATATGTGAAGGCAAATCATGCTTTGGTAGTTATAGTTCTCAGGAAAGTATCTGTTCTGTGCTCTATGTTCTTTCTGACTTTGTTCCTTATCAGTTATGTGGCTTCTGCTCCCTGCTGCTTTCCTGCTCTAAGTATGATTTAATGTTCAGGAATTTTACTTATATAAACTTTGCAGTGGCAGAAATTTCCTCTCCCTGTAATAGGGGAGGCAGTCATATATCTTACAGTCTGCATCTTCGTAAAATTCTTCCCTGTCTGTCTTCCTGAAACTTTTGTTTCTTGTTCTAGTCTTGTTTCCTCATTATTTGTTTGAAAACAATACAGCCTTTAACAGTGATCTTGCAATTATCACATGAAGGGTTTGACCTCTGATTTTGTTTCATATCTGAATGGCAGTGCTTGAAAAATGTTAACTAGGTGGGCCTGGATGCTCTAAAAAAAAAAAAAAAACCAAAAATAAATGGATGTTATCAGTGGGACTGTAGGAGCTGAACTCCCGTAGTAAGACTGGACTTTTCTTCACTTGTGTGTAATAAGCTGTGGAGGTTCTGTCTATGGAGTCATAAGTATATCTTTTTTTTTTTTTTTTTTTTTTTTTTTTTTTTTTAATCCCAAGTTTGACTAGTAAGTAGTAAGAAGAATGTGAATATTTCTGCCACTTCAACAGTTCCTGGACAAAGAACAAAGAAAGGATACAGAAACAGAAGGAATGGTCTCCATTTGAATTATATGTTTTTCTACATAGGGATTTTGCATTCTCCTGAAGGTACTTTCTTTAGGAAAAAAACTTTCCACAGAAAGAGTAATTCTGGGGGGTGGCAATGAAATGGACAATGCCAAATGATACTGCTCTGTTGCTTAGCAAAAAAGATCTCAGTGTTGCCAGTCTGCATTTGAAAGATACTGGTGGCTTCTATTTGATGAAAATATGAAAGATTATTTTTATAGTTTGAATAGTCTTGTAAGACTTCTTTTTGTTTGTAAGAGCCATCATATTAGTGTCTACATTTCTCAACTTGCAACAGTGTCAACTTTATGGTAAATGTAAATTTCACCTGGAATACTGTATCTAGTGTGTTAAGCCAGCAAGTACAATGTCAGCTATTTTTATGATGACTAGATTAAAAAGTCTAGTCTTTGTTCTTTGATCTCTTCCTTTTAAAAATAGCTAGCATATGTTAGCTTCAGAGATGCCTACAGGAATCTAAGGGATTGAAGGAATTCTTCACTCTTCCCACGTACATCCACTCAAATTTTTAAAATTCCTCAGGAAAGTAGAAACTTCCATGGGAACAACTGAATCAAATGTGCAGTTTAATGGGTGAGGGGGACTCGCACAACTGAAGGAAATTTACCTCCCTCAAGGTAGGGAGTGGGTTAAAAAGTACTAGTTAGAAGATGAGCAAGTTGTATTAAGCCTACAGAGTTTCTTAACATGAATGGGGTTTGCTCTTTTTCCTTTTCTTTAGCTTTCATCCTAGAGGAATTAGATAAACTGTGCAGTTGCTTAGAAAGGACTTCTCTATTAGCATGTGCACATAGCATTTCCACTCAGCAGTAGATTTCTGAGGTGAAGTACAATTTCTTTTATTCAATAGGCATAAAGTTTTTGACAAGATAAACTTAGATTTGTAGGAGAGGCTTCAATAAATGTTTGTTCTGAGGTAATTTCATCTCCCACAGCTTAAATGAGAATTCCTTACTTTCATGAGCTGATTTAATCCCTTACATCGTTTCCTAAACCTACTGCTGCTTACACTTAAGTTTGGCAAATCAACTAACCTAATACCATAAGAAGATAGGACAAGCTACCAAACCAGAAGCACCAGATTTTTACTGCTCAGAGGACTGGGAGGTTGAAGTTATGGTAGGCTGTAAAATGGATGTTTGTAGAAAGTGGCTTAGTAGGCATTTCTGGTGTGGAGTCTTGCTTTTTAAACAACGAAACAAACAAAACCAGATTGCTGGAGGACCTCTAATAACTCATCTAGACAACAGCAACCACCTATGTGTTCTTGACAAAACTGATGCTGCAGTCTTGCAGTTCTTTGGGATATAATGGATTTTGAATACGTCTTGAGAAATGCATAAAACTTGACTACTGCTGAGCTAACTACAGAGGCTGAAATAAAAAAAAATGTCTAGAAGTAATTTTTGAACTACAAGCAGCAGTCAGGAGTATAGTTAAGTGTTGTGAAAAAAAGAGACTTAAATATATTAAAAAGAAAAAAGATTAACATGGAGTAATAAATAGCTTTTAATTCTTGCGAGTAACTCTGTTCTTTTCAGTGTCCATTCCAATGACTTTTACACCTTCATTTACAAACTAAATGAAAATCAGTGCTTAAATGGTTGCTATATATGAATGGAATACTTGATTTGCAGATAAAGCATATAATGGATACATTGAAATTCCCCTTGTCTCATCCTGCTGAAGTGCACATTATTATTATGGCTACATTGATACCTGAATTGCCTCTGGTCAGGTAACAGGTTTCCTGCTCCTGAGTGACAGCCTGGAAGCCTGTCTGGATTACAGTGCAGGGCAGCCATACCTCACCAGCTTGTCCAGGGGCATATCAGAGCTAGCCCTGACCTGGGAGCTGCTGGACTGAGCTTATTCCCTCGGGGGCCTCTTGGATATCTCGGTGTTTTGACTGCCCAGTGTTATGCCAGCACTTTTACTATGAAGGTTTGTCTTCATCTGCAGATTCTAGGAGTTCTGTTATTTTCCACTTGATTACTGTTGAGTCTGCTAAAGTGTGATTGCTAAAGATAATTTTGTTTTACTGCGGAGTTGTAATTAAATTTGGTGTTCAATTTACATTTTGCAAATTTTAATATGATGACCTAAATCCTTCTTCTATGGAACAAGAGAATTGTTTGCTACTATAAGCTGCCTTTAGCAGGTTCCGTATTCATGGTGGAGTTACTCTTAACCAAAATCCCAGGAATGTACTAGAAAAACTTTCAGAAAAACACAGCATGACTGCCACTTCTTAGTAGTCTGCACAATGAAAAGAAATGAATGAGGTTGTTGAAAACCACCTCTTCAGGAATGGGTATTAATTTCTCCAGTCTGATCCAAGAGAGTCTGAGGACATGTGGCAAAGAATTATTCAAAGATATTAATAGTTTGTGCATCAGTTCTTAAGCAGTTTATAGGAGCAGCATGGAGTAACAAACTTGCCTGCAAACCTGGCATTGCAGTGGAACGTGTGACTCACTGACTGAATTAACATCCCAGGATTCTCAAATCTCTACTTTTTTTTTGTGAAGGTACAGATAGAACTGATTTTTCAGCCATTTCAATTTGAAATGTAAATAGAGTACATTCCAGCTGTGATCATTTGAATGATCATGAATCTGGAACTGCTAAATGTAATATTTTCTTTGGATGTTGATGTCAGGCTAGTGATTTTGTTCATTGAGTTTGTGTCTGTGCAATGAAAATCTAGGTGGCTTTAACATTGATCATAATTGATTCATAATTGACCTTTCTGTGCTTGAAAACCCCAAGTTAAGTACTTCCTTACTTGATTCTGTCTGGGCTGTTCTTACCATGCTGATTTGTCTTGTGCCTAATTGGCATTTGCTGCAAAAAGTAGAGTTATTAAGACTAGATAATAAAATATTAAATTTATTTTTCTTTTTGCTGATGTGCTAAATTGAAATCAAATTTTATCTCCGAAATATATCCTGTTTTGTCCAAGTTTGTTGTATACAGCATATGCATTCCTAAGTATGGCAGTCAAAGTTGGGAATAGGTTATGAATAACAAGCAGAGAATTTGGTGCTGTGAGGAAAGTATTTAATTCTACTACTGCTCTTCTTCCTGCTCTCCCTTATTCTAACCACAGTCTTTGTTCTTGTATCAGTTTTAT